CAGCAGCAGCAGCCATATGTCGAGCAGCCGCTGCTGCTGCAAGGCTATCCGCAGCAGCAGCAGGTGCAGCAGCAGCAGCAGCAGCAGCAGCAGCAGCGAGGCTGGAAGCAGTTTGAAGATCTTGACTCCGATCCGCCGCTGGGCTCGTTTTTGGGTTCAGACTTCACAGGGGTGTTTGGGGGGCCCCCCGAGGGGCCCCCGAGTTCAGCGGGGGGGGGGCCCCCCGCGCTGCAGCAGCAAGCAGCAGCAGCAGCAGCAGCAGCAGCAGCAGGGGACGGCGCCTGGGCGCTGCTGGATGTGGGGCGCAGCGCCAGACAAGAAATCCTCTCTGGCAGTCTCCACTCCGGAGACTTCGCAGACAACACTTCGGGTGTACGTACACCTGAATTATCTTCGGGTGTACGTACACCTGAATTGGCGCCGGGTGTACGTACACCTGGGGCGAGTTCGGGTGTACGTACACCTGGGGCGAGTTCGGGTGTACGTACACCTGGGGCGAGTTCGGGTGTACGTACACCTGGGGCCGACTCGGGGCTTTTCCTGGGGCCCCACGGGGACACTTACTCTGCTGCCAGCACCACGGAGTACCTCTCCGGAGCTTCTGCTGCTGCTGCTGCTGCTGCTGCTGCTGCTGCGCTTTCTCCGAGCTCCCGGGGCTACAGCTCAGCAGCAGACAGCAACTCGGGTGTACAGACACCTGAACTCCCCCACAGCCTCCAAGACACAGACGAAGAAGTCCCTTTCGCCTTTTCAGGTGTATCTACACCTGAACAGCTGCGGGGCGCAGCAGCCCCGGGTGTACGTACACCCGAACTCGGCCGCGGTGTGGGGCCCGGCCTGAGCCCAGGTGTACGTACACCCCAGCGCTTCCCAGGTGTACGTACACTCGCCAGCGGCTTCCTTGAAGACGCCGGCCTTCGCCGCTTGCCAACTGTACATACACCTCAGCGAGAGGGCCCCAGCGACTCCCGGGGGGGCCCCCCGGGGGGCCCCCTGGGGGCCCCCCTGGGGGCCCCCCTGGGGGGCTCAACGGGACGTCCCCTGGGGGGGCCCCTGGGGGGCCCCCTAGGGGGTCCCCTGGGGGGCCCCCTGGGGGCGCCACCGGGGGGAAACCCCCTGGGCAGCTCAACGGGCTCCCTCCTGGGGGCCCCCCCGGGGGCCCCCCTGGGGGGCCCCCTGAGGGCCCCCCTGGGGGGCCCCCTGGGGGGCCCCACAGCTTCACGTGTACGTACACCCCACAGCAGCAGGTTCGGGGCGTCCCCCGGTTTCTTATGATTCAAAAGAAAGAAAAAAGGAAAGGAGGAAAAAGGGAATAAAAGAATAAAAGGAGACAAAAGAATTAAAAAAGGGAAAAAATAAACGCAAAAGGACAAAAAGAAGGAAAGAAGAAGAGATAAATGACAAAAGAGAAATAAAAGAAATCAAAACTATAAAAAGACAAAAAGCTTTTAATGGATTTCTCGAAGACTCAACAAATAAAAGGAGACAGTCAAAAGCGGAGACTGGCAGCAGCTGCAGCCTGCTGCTGGGGACAACCGCCGCCAAACCCTAAACCCTAAACCCTAAACCCTAAACCCTCGAGGGGTCTGGGCTTCAGCATCTTCTCTTTCCGAAACGCCATCGAGTCGCTTTCTCTCGCGCAAACAAGAAATCAGCAGCAAGACAATGCAGGAATGGCAGCAGCAGCAGCAGCAGCAGCAGCAGCAGCAGCAGCAGCAGCAGCAGCAGTGGCAGCAAAATAAAAAATTAATTCAATTGGAAGCAAACAAAGCGGGAGCAGCCACGTCTAATTAGGGAGCTTGCCAAGCTGCTGCGGGCCCAGCAGCAGCAGCAGCAGCAGCAGCAGCAGCAGCAGCAGACAGCGCTGTGGTCTCGTGCTCTCGCAGCTGCAGCACAGCGTACCCGCCCGCGCAGCAGCAGCAGCAGCAGCAGCAGCAGCAGCAGCAGCAGCAGCAGCAGGGTGCGTCAGGAGAAGCACAAATATATTGCGTACTTTATATTGATAGAAGAATTCTTTTGAACTCCGCAATTGTTTATTTGTCCTTGAAAAGTGCATTTGTTTGTTCTTTTGAATTAAATAAATGCTTTTGCATTTATGTTTATTGAGAGCCCGCAGATACACTTCAGTAGGGGCGCATGCACTGTATGTACACCTCGGCGCTTTGTGAATATTTTTTGTATGTACACCTGAATGTTTTATAATATATATATATATTTAAATTGTGAAGATCTTTTTGGAAACATTTATAATTGTTTATGAATGTTTGCAAATATTCACAAATATTCGCAAGTGTTTATAACTATTTATGAACACTTGTGAGTATTTATGAGAAAACAGGTGTTTATATCCTGAGTCTTTACTGCAGCTACTTGAAATATATATATATATTATATATTCCAGAAAGTAATTTTTTCATTTTGTAAATGCATGCACTTTCGTTAATGTCCAATCTATTTGAAGGCTCAGCGGCCCGCGCAACTCCGCGCATGCAAGTAGCTTTTTATAATTGCATTTAATCTTTTAAATGCATTTACATATTTGAATATTCATGAAGTTATTTTATTCTCTTCAGACGTGCAGCTCCTGCCTCTGCTGAATTGTTTATTTTATGTCCATTCTTTCGAAAAAACAAACATATTTCTTTATTTCATTTTCTGCTGCAAACAAACGACCGGGTGTACGTACACCTGCGCTCGTTTGCAATTCCAGGGAAAACTGTTTTTTCGGACTTCTGCAAATCCGCTTTTTCCATTTATTCTTTCTACTTTTTTCGCGTCAGCGGCAACAAATACTCAGAAATAAATAAAAATACTTTTCTAGTTTTGAATTTCAAGTTCAGATCGCCTGAGTTCCCCGAGAGGCTCAGAAAACAATTCCCCTTTGTTTCAGTCAGCGGGTCTGAGGGCAAGAGGCCGCAAAGTCACTTAAGCCGGTCAACTCGCGACGGCAAAAACAGAAATAAACGAATCTTTTATTTTTTTTAAATCAAATATTTATTTTTAAAATAAAATCTGCGGCTCAAATTCGCAAAACTCGCCAGAATGGGAATGAGCGAATCGGGGTGTACAGACACCGGAGGCGAGAGCGCGAGCTCCGCGGCCGCCGGAAGGCAAATCGAGAAAATATTTTTGGAGAAATAAATCATCATTTTAATGAAATTCGATGAATTAAATTTGAATAGTTGATTAAATTCAACGAATTGATTGAATTGAACCAATTAAATGAATAAATCTTCGCGAAATTAGTTTTTCTTTCGCGCCGTTCAACGCGAACCGTCGCGGCCGAAACCGAACTTGAACAGTTCACGTTTTTCCGAAAAGGAAGGCAGAAGTTCTTTCCTTTCCGCCAACAGCAATTTAAAATGGTTTTATTTTAAATTTAAAAGTTAAATTCAACAAAAAAAAGAAAGAATAAAAGGAATTAATGCAGCTTTCCTCGCTTTTTGCAGCGGCCGATCAGCGGCTCTCGACAAGTCGTCGAGACCAGCGAGCGATCCTCAAGAGTTCTTCTTTTATTTCCAATCAAAGTAAATGAAATATTATTTAAATTTAAACTTTTAATCAAAAGAAAAGAATTGAATTATTTTTGCAGCAAATAGCCCCCAGACATTCCCAGCCTCGTTCCACTTTCCAGGCAGGCCCTGCTGCACACAGCGACAGCAGCAGCAGCAGCAGCAGCAGCAGCAGCAGCAACAGCCGGCGCAGCAACTCCATCACTTTGACTTCAATGAAGAGCAGATCAGCCACATTTTGAGCTGCCTGCTGCTTCCCTTCACTCACAACAAGGCTCCGAGGCGCGGCAGCAGCAGCAGCACAGCAGCAGCGAGGCAGCAGCAGCAGCAGCAGCAGCAGCAACGCATGCAGAACTGCAGCAGCACCAAAGCCCAATGCTGCCCCTCCAGCATGACAGCTAGGGGGCCCCCCTTAGGCTTTGAGAGCCTACAGCCTTTGGGGGCCCCACCGGGAGCTGGGGGGGGGTCCCCTGAGGGGCCCCCCTATGGGGGCCCCCCTATGGGGGCCCCCCAGGGGCCCCCCGAGGGGGCCCCCCAGGGGCCCCCCGAGGGGGCCCCCCGGGGGCCCCCAAGAAAGGCAATTGTTTGTTCAGTTTTTCTTGGAGGAGAAAATGAAGAAAGAAAAGAAGAAGACTATTTGGTGTGTATAGACAGCTCGAGGCCAGCATACACTTCAACAAGCAGCAGCCTGAGCAGCTGCAGCACGGTCTGCAGCTGCAGCAGCAGCTGCAGCAGCTGCAGCAGCAGCTGCAGCAGCAGCTGCAGCAGCTGCAGCGACAGCAGCAGCAGCACGGCGCTGCCGTCCATCGCGACGAGCCCCCGCAGCTGCAGCGCAGCGTACAGCCGCAGCAACAGCAGCAGCAACAGAAGCAGCGCCTGCTGCAGCAGCCCTGCCTCCGCCAGCAGCAGCAGCAGCAGCAGCAGCAGCAGCAGCAGCAGCAAACTGCAGCAGCTCGCTTTCTTTTGCATGGGCGCTGCATGCAGCCTTCCCTGGAATGTCATTGTTTTAGAAATGGAAACTTTTCAAAGATTTTACCTGCCCACTTATCCCTGGATTGAAGCAGCAACTGCAGTGGGTTTTTAGCAGCAGCAGCAGCAGCAGCAGCAGCAGCAGCAGCAGCAGCAGCAGCAGCAGCAGCAGCAGCAGTAGCAGCAGAGAGCGCGCAGGAGCAAGTGCAGGGTAACCGATGGCACGGGGGTTCTAGAGTTTAGGGTTTAGGGTTCAGAAGGCGTGTGCTTTGAGTCCGCGGTTTAGGGTTTAGGGTTTAGGGTTTAGGGTTTAGGGTTTGGGGTTTAGGGTTTAGACAAGAGGGCGCAGGAACAAGAGCTCACTGCCTACGGCTCAGGACTCATGCATGGACAGGAGTGTAGTGCTCAGGGTCTAAGGCCCAGAGATTAGGGTTTAGGGTTTAGGGTTTAGGGTTTAGGGTTTAGGGTTTAGGGTTTAGGGTTTAGGGTTTGGGTGTTGCGCAGGTTCGTTCCTTGAGCATGTTGTTTGGGCAGCTGCTGTTTTGCTGCTTGTCTCCTTTTCTGCCGGCCCTTTATTTGGGGGTTGGGGGCTGCATAATAGCAGCAGCAAGTTGCTGCTTCTTGTCTGCTGCAGTGTCTCCTGCTGCTGCTGCTGCTGCTGCTGCAGCAGCAGCAGCAGGCGGGGGCGCTGCTGGGGGCGCGGGCGGCGACGCCGCCGCCGCTGCTGCTGCTGCTGCTGCTGCAGCAGCAGCAGGAGGCGCTGCTGCTGCTGAGGGCCTCGCCTTCCAGCTTTGCTGCTGCTTAGTTGCTGCTGTCTCCTTTTGCTGCTCCTGTCTCCGCAGCAGCTTCTATTTGCTGCTGGCCCTTTCTAAACCCTGTCTCCGGGGGGCCCCCGCAGCAGCAGTACCCTTGGGGGGCCCCCTGTTGGGTCTTTTTTGTTTATTTATTTATTTCATTTTGCGTTCTTACAAACCCCTCACAAGAACTGCTGTTGTTCTTGCTGCTGCTGCGCTGCTGCTGCTGGCAGCAGCAGCGCTTTTCCTGCGCGCCCTCCGCAAGGTGCAGCAGCAGCAGCAGCAGCAGCAGCAGCAGCAGCAGCAGCAGCAGCAGCAGGCGCAGGCAGGAATCAAGCTGCTGATGCTGGCCAACTCGCCAGCTGCTGCTGCAGCAACGCAGCAGCAGCAGCAGCAGCAGCTGCAACTGCAGCCGCAGCAGCAGCAGCAGCAGCAGCAGCAGCAGCAGCAAGAACCCGACTGGGCCCAGGAAGGCCGCGACGGCCCTCCAGATGAGACCGCAGCGCTGCTTCACAGCCTTCACTGCCCCCCCAGCAGCAGCAGCAGCAGCAGCAGCAGCAGCAGCAGCAGCAGCAGCAGCAAGGAGTGTTTGGGCCGTTTTGGGGTATATTTGTCTGTCTTTGGAGAGTGCCGCAGCTCTTTAATTTGCTGCTTTCTTTTGTCTCTTTCCACGTACATTGTTTATCCCATTCAAGTGCAGCGAATGCGGCCCTGCAGCAGCAGCAGCAGCAGCAGCAGCAGCAGCAGCAGCAGCAGCAGCAGCAGCGGCGGCTGGGGCGGGGGCGTCGACCCTGCGGTGTTTCAGCTGCTGCTGATTGCTGCGTACCACCTGGGGATTGTGTCTGGCCGCTGCTGCTCCCGCTGCTGCTGCTGCTGCTGCTGCTGCTCCATCAGCAGCAAACTGAGTCCCGCGCTGCTGCTGCTGCGGCTGTCTTTGCCGCTGCTGCTGTGCTGGCTGGAGGCGCTGCCGGGGCGGCTGCTGCCGTGGCTGCGAGCAGCAGCAGCAGCAGCAGCAGCAGCAGCAGCAGGCGTGGGCGGGTCTTCCGCGGGCGCTGCTGCTGCTGCTGCTGCTGCGCAGCAGCAGCAGCAGCAGCAGCAGCAGCAGCTGCTGCTGCTGCCGTGGCAGCAGCAAGCCGAGAAGGCCCTGCTGCTGCTGCTGGACCTCTCCCGCTGCGCTGCTCTCTTCCTTTTTGCTGCTGCTCACGGGAGACTGTCTCTGTGGGGTCTCAGCAGCACTTTTGAGGGCCCCCGCAGCTACAAAGGCAGTGTTGCTGCTGCTGCTCTTTTGGGCCTTTGCGAAGCAGCAGGAGTTGCTGCTGGCACTGCTGTGTCTCTTTCCCTCTCTCCCCTCAGCCCCCCTGCTGCTGCTGCTGCTGCTGCTGCTGCTGCTGCTGCTGCTCATGACCCCGCAGCAGCAGCAGCAGCAGCAACGCCCACTGCAGCGGCGCTGCAGCGCCTCGCTTAACCGCCAGCAGCAAAAGCAGCAGCCAATGCAGCAAACCAGACAGCAGCAGCAGCAGCAGCAGCAGCAGCAGCAAATGCAGGAAATCTACCAGCAGCAGCAGCAGCAGCAGCAGCTGCTGCTGCTGCTGCTGCTGCGACTTCTGATTTTCAGCTTCTCGAATATTTTTTGCATCAACACAAATAAACCTAACTTCTGATTTTTCGATAAAATATAAATAAATATAAATATAAATATAAATATAAATATAAATATAAATATAAATATAAATATAAATATAAATATAAATATAAGTATAAATATAAATATAAATATAAATATAAATATAAATATAAATATAAATATAAATATAAATATAAATATAAATATAAATATAAATATAATAAAATGGAAAGTTGAAATAAAGAAAATAAGTCGAAGACAGAATTCGTTTTGCTGCGGCGCCGCAGAAGAGACAATTGCTGCTGTCTCTTTTTAATAATTACAAATGCCATTAATTAATTATTTATTTATTTATTTATTTATTTATTTATTTATTTATTTATTTATTTTAATTTATTCTTTTATTTATTTTTTTATTTGCTTTTTTCAGATGCCTTAAACCTGCTTTTATTTGCTCTGGAGGACCCGCCCGCTGCCGCCTCAAACCCTAAACCCTAAACCCTAAACCCTAAACCCTAATTTTTTGTTTTTGCCTCATTTGCGGCTCATTTTTTGCCATTTTTGGTCTATTTGCGTTTATTTTATTTCCTTTTTAATCTTTTATTTATTTAATTATGCTATTTATCTCTTTTTAATCTTCTTTTTTAATTTTAATTTTAATTTCCTTTTTTTTCTTTTTGTCTCCTTTTATTGTGTCTCTTTTGTCTCCTTTTATGCTCCTGGGTTCTTCTGCTTGTAAGCCGCGTAATCATTCTGCAAACAAAAATCATAAAAAGTATAATTTAAATTTAAAATAAATAAATTATAAATAAATAAATTAAAAATAAATAAATAAAATAAATATATAAATGAGAGCTAGCTCTGATTTGTTAAATCTCACAAGAAACTGATACTGCCAGCTGCACACTTTAGAAATAACCAGCAGCAGCAGCAGCAGCAGCAGCAGCAGCAGCAGCAGCAGCAGCAGCAGCAGAAGCAAAATCACCAGCAGCAGTAGGACACTGGGATAATCAGCAGCAGCGTCATTATAAACGGCAGCAGCAGCAGCAGCAGCAGCATCACTAGCAGCAACACTAGCAGCAGCAGCAGCATTAGAAGCATTAGCAGCAGCACCAACAGCATCAGCAGCAGCACCACCATTAGCAGCAGCCTTAGCAGCAACACTAGCATTAGCAGCATTAGCAGCATTAGCAGCAGCATTAGCAGCAGCAGTAGCAGCAGCAGCAGCAGCAGCAGCAGCACCACTAGCAGCAGCATTAGCAGCATTAGCAGCAGCATTAGCAGCATTAGCAGCAGCATTAGCAGCATTAGCAGCAGCAAGAGCAGCAGCATTAGCAGCAGCATTAGCAGCAGCATTAGCAGCAGCATTAGCAGCAGCAGCAGCAGCAGCAGCAGCAGCAGCAGCAGACCCTGAGGCAGGGGCTTTCGAGGATGTCTTTGGCTGAGGGTCTGCTGCTGGGGTCTTTTTGAAGCAGCTTTTCGCACAACACCCGCAGCTCTAAGGAATAGCGGGGGGGAGTTTTGGAGTCCGTAAATAAATAATAAACAGATAAATAAATAAATAAGTAAATAAATAGATAAACAGATAAATAAATAAATAAATAAATAAATAAATAAATAATAAATACATAAATAAACACATGAATAAATAAATAAATAAATAATAAATAATAAAGAAATAATAAATAAATAAATAATAAATAAATAAATAAACAAAAATTTAATTGTTTAATTAATTTGGCAAATAAGTGGCATTATTAAATGGCATTTTGCAAATGGCAAAATGGCATTTTGCGATTTCGGAGTTAATTTTGCGAAAAAAAGTCGAAAAAAGTTCATTTTTTGCGGAATAAAAAGCAAATTAAAAGAGGAATAAAGAGGGAGTGGAATTGGAGTTTCAAAATGGCAAAAAAGCGCAAAAAAAGAACCTTTTTTACCGGAGCAGTGCAAATATTTCGGTGAAGTTCCGGAAAAGAAAGGCCCCGAAAAGGCAGCTCGAAAGTGGCCGCTTCAAACATGAGGCAGCCCAGCGCCCAGATGTCTGCCGCGCTCGAGTACGGCCGGCCCTGCAACGCAAACCCTCGTTTTCGGCCCTTTTCAAACCCTTTTTTAGGGTTTGGAAACACTGATTCGGGGGTTTGGAGGCCGCGCAGTCGCGGGGTTTATGGGGGTTCAAACGGCGGCGAAAGGAGACAAAAAAAGCCAAAACGGAGAGAAAATGGAGACAAAATGGACACAAATGGGGACTTTTCAGAACTTTTTTAAAAACTTTTTGGGGACTTTGAGGGGGTTTTAAGGGCATTTAAAAAAGAATAAAAAATGCATTTGAGGCAGAGTTGATGGAAGTTGAAAGGAGACAAAAAAGAAGACAAAAAGGAGACAAAAAGGAGACAAAAAGGAGACAAAAAGGAGACAAAAAGGAGACAAATAGAGACTTTTCGAGACTTTTGAGGGCCTAAAAGGGGGTTTTGAGGAGGACTTAAAAGGCATTTAGAAGGGATTAAGAAAGGCATTTGATGGCGAATTGAAGAAGATTAAAGAGAGACAAAAAGGGGTTTAAAAGATTTTTAAAAAAGATTTTAAAAAGATTTTAAAAAGATTTTAAAAAGATCAAAAAATGATTTAAAAGAGATTCATGCGAGATTTATAAGATGAAATTATGAGATAGAGATGCAGGCAGAAGAGATAGCAGCAGCAACAGCAACAGAAGCAGCAGCAGCAGCAGCAGCAGCAGCATCACACACGCAGCAGCGGCATAAGCTGCAGCATCAGCCGCATGTATAGCAGCAGCAGCATATGCAGCAGCAGCAGCATATACAGCAGCAGCATATACACCAGCAGCAACAGCAGCAGCAACAGCAGCAGCAGCATATACACCACCAGCAGCAGCAGCAGCAGCAGCAGCAGCAGCAGCAGCAGCAGCAGCAGCAGCAGCAGACCTTGCAGAGTTCAGGGGCCATGAAGGCGGGAGTGCCGCACTGCGTCTTCGCTTGTTGAAGAGTAAATTCCAAAATCTTCGAAAGGCCCAAATCCCCCACTCGCACGTAATTGTTTTCATCCAAAAATACGTTTGCGGGTTTTAAATCTGTAAATAAATAAATAAATAAATAAATAATTAATTAAATAAATAAATAAATAAATTAATTAATTAATTAATTAATTAATTAATTAAAGTAGTTAGTTAGCTAGTTAATTGGTTAATTAAATTAGTTGGTTTATTAGCACGTAATTGTTTTCATCCAAAAATACGTTTGCGGGTTTTAAATCTGTAAATAAATAAATAAACAAACAAACAAACAAATATAAATAAATTAATTAATTAATTAATTAATTAATTAATTAAAGTAGTTAGTTAGCTAGTTAATTGGTTAATTAAATTAGTTGGTTTATTAGCACGTAATTGTTTTCATCCAAAAATACGTTTGCGGGTTTTAAATCTGTAAATAAATAAATAAACAAACAAACAAACAAATAAATAAATAAATAAATAAATAGATAATTAAATAAATAAAGAATCAAGTAATTAATTAATTAATCAATTAAAGTAATTAATTAGCTAGTAAATTGGTTAATTAAATTAGTTAGTTTATTAGCACGTAATTGTTTTATCCAGGAATACGTTTGCGGGTTTCAAATCTGTAAATAAATAAATAAATAAATAAATAATTGATTAATTAGTTAATTAATTAATTAGTTAATTGGTTAGTTAATTAGTTAGTTAAATTAGTTAGCTAATTAACACGTAATTGTTTTCAGGCAGAAAATCTGTTTGCAGGCTAAAAGATTGCACATAAACACATAAATAATTTATGAATTGATTAAATTAATTTAATTGGTTTATTTATTTATTTATTTATTTATTTATTTATTCATTTTAATTTAATTAATTTAATTAATTAATATACCTCTATGCAGTATTTTGTGTTTATGCATAAAGTCCAATGCCACTGCCAACTGCAGCAGCCAAGTCCAACTAATTAGCAAATCAAATTAACTAATTAATTAATTAATTAACTAATTAATTATATTTATTTATTTTAATTAATTTAATTAATTTAATTAACCAATTAATTAATTAATTAATTAATTAATTA